TGCCTCAGTTCCTTCAGCAGGAAATTTTTTCCACATGTAATAGAAACAGAAAATTTGGAGACTGTTTATAAGTAAAAAATGTTCAATGTGACTTAGAGTAAGAGCAGTACTTGGCACCAAAGCTATCTCTCTGTCTTAACCTTATTGTACACTTACACGAGTGCCTAAAAATAACTTTTGAGTGTTGGGCCTTAATCTATACTGTATAGACACATAGTAAAATCCAAAGGTTGTTTTAAATAACTGAAACAGAATATAGGTAGAGAGGAACAGAAACAGCGAGGCAATCTGTCCAAAATGTTAGTGATAGAAGGCATGGTATCTGTACCAACACTTTACCCACTAGATCACACTACTTCTGATGATTGATTAATAACAAGTAATAAATAGCCCATGCAGACATTTCTGGCTCCTTCACTACTCACAAGACTCCCTTTGTATCATTAAGGGCCACACTAAATTAGAACAAAATATATCCTTTAAGTGTTCCAAAATATTTTTTCAAGTTTATAGGTTTGAAAATTAACAAAATATTCTGATTTGGACAAAAGGTCACTAATAAGCGAGTCTCAAGATACATTATCACCTTGGAAAACTCAGTATCAGAGCTAGCCTTTGGACTAGAGAGGCAGGCACTTTTATTATTTCCACCAGATTGTTGCTGTCCTGTGAATAAGAGATCTTCAGCAACCAAGAGGCAGCCTATCTCAGACACTAAGGCCCAGTAAATAAAAAAAACTATAATGGTGCAGAATACAGTGCAGTTTTATATTACGTTTTATATCTTACGTTTTATATTAAAAGGTTAGTGGCATTATGTTTCTTTGCAGGTAGAATTGAAGCACAAAAAGGCAACATGGCTTGCAGATTTACAGGCAGGAAAAAAAGCAGAATCCAGGACTGAAATATCTGCCGCATGCTTTTTCCAGTGAACCATAAAATCTTCAGGAATATCACTTTCCTTTGTGAACCACAAAGTCTTCAGGAGTATCACTTTCCTGTGACCCTCATACATAGAAAACCATACTAACAGGCCTACTGTCTGGCAAGTACATTAATGGAATAAATAGCATAGAATTCTCAAGCATGAAACCTTATATTTCATTTAAAATCAATAGTATTCTTCTTTCATACTGTATTTTTGACTGAAAAAAAACAAGAAGAAATGAAGGCTTATTATGCAAGATACCCACTACCCTCCTCTTCCCAACCTAGAAATACTTATTGTCTGGAGAAATCAGTCCCATTTTCAGGTTCTGAAGAATACAGAAAGATGAGATGGAAATTACACTTTGACAATTAGAAATAATCCAGAAGGCTGTGGATTAATGCACAGTGTTACAACAGTCAGAACAGGTAGCCCATCAGGGATACCATACTAGCTACTCAGAAATGCCTGGCTAAGGTGACCTTCTCTTCCTTTTGAGAGATTTTTCTAAGACAGTGAGAAGCAAAGGCAGGCTCCAGTGCTTACTGTGGAGGTGTCAGAGTCCAGAGATGGCAGCTGATCTTTCACTGCAGCAAGTATGGCTCCCCATTGAAGTGTTCTGCTACTCTGAACAGGAGCTGCAGGAGGCTCAGATGGATGCTCTGTATCCTCACTTTGCCCTTCTGAGGCCATTCAAACAGCTTCCCTTTGATCAAATGAAAGATGAGCTTAAATACACCTCAAGAAGGAACACAAGGGATAACATCAGTACAAAACAAGAACAAAGCATGTGCGTTCAGGGTCAGCATAATTCTCAGCACTCCCAGGGTTTTCACTGTCAGCAGTGAATGATAAAATCTGCATTTCTGGAGTCATTCCTTCCCACCTGAGTTCAGAGGGCTGAGTTTTCTGCCCTGCTCACCATATACACCCATAATTGGGGCCACACGACAGGCAGTTTAGCCCTTCATTTATAAAGAATTTTTCAGGATTCTTAGCCAGACTGACTTGTAACTGTGTTCTCAGAAAAGCACGTTTAAACTGCCTGCACAGAGAGGGGAGAAACTCAGAAAAGGCAAGGCTGACATCTCTGCTCTCAGTTGGTTTTTACTCCTCTTCCCTATTTCTCTTATGTTGCCCTGCTCACTGCTCAAATGATAAAATAATTTGTTTGCTTTTTTTTCACTGCATTTGTATAAAAATAGATGACAGTAGACACACTCTCGATTTTTAACCTCTCAAAGTGTTATAAGGCAGACTTTTTCCTCACGTGTTCCTTCATGTACATGAGGAGTCGAGACAACACAGTAGTGACTATTGCCGTACTACCAAGTTAGAGAATTAATATTCGCAGAAAATTGCAGTTTCCTGGGGAATCAAACGTGACAATAAGTACTTTCTCTTCAGCGAGAAAGGTTAAGAGATTTGTGACTGTATGTTGTTCACTATTGATATAACTTCATATGATTACACTGTCACTGTTATTTGCAGTAGCATGTACCAACACTCCTCTAAACACACAGCGGAACTCATCTCATGCCCTGGGAAGTTTACAACTTGAAAAGCACCTTTGCAAATACTTTATATGCCATATGCATACAGTGGCAGCTTCGTTCACAGGAGACAACCACTGAATCCCATTTAGGTAAAAGGAAGGGAAATGCCCAAGGCTGGGGTACTACGCTCTGTCAGGAAGTAGAGGTTGCTAAGGGCAAGAAAAGTCATGGGAATAAAACCAAACTGCCGCTCCTTCTGCCAATTTAAGAGGTCAGTCTCCCAAGGTTAAGGATATCAGTCATCCAACATCTTCTCTGGGAGCAAGCAGTGCTCTGTTTAAAACAAAGTGCAGAGTTGTCAGACAGCTCACAACAAACACTTTCTGGAGAGCTTGGGTCAACCAAGATGTGAAATCCTGAGCCTCTCCGTGTCACTAGAAGTGATGTTTCCTGTCACGTCCATCTCAGGAGCCTCGCTGCCTGGGTACAACACCAACGAGGCAGAGGTCAAGATGCAGGCGATGGTGGGAAACAAACCTTCGCTTCGGGGCGGTGTTCATGGGCACGCAGCCCGCCGCAGACCTGGGGACGAGCTAACCGTGCCCTCAGCACCGTCCCAGCACACCGGCAGGTTTCAGGACCCGCAGTGCGAGGCTGATTCCTCAGAGAAGCCGCTGAACCACCAAAATGGCGGCCCGGGCGGCGCACGCGCACCTGCGCC